AAAAAAAAAAAAAATAAGAATTGGAGCTGATGTTCAAACCTTCTTCGGTCGTCGAGCTCCCGGGTGTCGTTTACGACACGTCAGGAGGCAAGATGTTTCGATTTTTTCGCGATGCGATATATCTTCCGTGAAGAGAAGGATGAAATAATAAAAGATCGATTTCTCTATGTTCGTTGCTGATAATTACAGCTTGGTATTTTATTTAGTTCAACGAAAACAGTGTATCAACGCAGGAACCGTGTTATTCTAAAAAAAAAGGGAAATGTCTAGAAAAAAGCAAATGTCTGGAAAATTGAACAGCGGCTTTGTGTATTGTTCTATGCGAATTCGTGCGAATCGTTTAACGACTCACGAGATAAATATTCAACTATTCGACGGCAAGAACAGAGGAATATTATCAAGTACAAGTACGTAAACGAAAGTACAAATTCAAGCAAGAATCACGAACAACATGTTTGTTAAATGATCTGCTCGATCTTTCCAGAGTTCTCATCTTCCGTTGTAGTCCCGTACGTCGTATTACGCGACACGTTGATAACGTTGACATTGCAACCGTGATGCTTCCGACGTACATGAGCACGTATATTTGAAGATTTCTTCGATGCGTAATCGCAATACGGGCAACCGAATCTCGGTAGCTGGCCGCATTCGAATTTTATGTGTGAATACAAATTGTTCTTCCGGTTGAAAGTGCTTGTACACTTTGGACAGGGAAATCTGTCTTTGTTCCGGTCCAGAAATACCGTTGGTCTTGACACCACGGTGTACGGTGGTATCTTGAAGCCACCCAGATGTTCCAGATCTGTAAGAAAATATTTGAAAGCCGTCAGCGTGCGCATTCGAGCTACGAACACGTACCATTTATGGACGCCTTGAACACTTTGAGATATCGATATCCATGGGCAGGATTTTCCGAGGAAGGGATAGGATAATTAATTACAACACTAACAGTGACTATTGTTATGATAAGCAAGTCGAATGATGATACTCTATCGTGCCCGAAGTCCCCCTTTTTTTTTTTCCAAGTGCGTACGATGTATGCGTTCGAATAAAGGAAAAACTTTATTTCGACTAAATACAAAAATATATCTGTCTTAAATATAGTACTAATCTGAAATAGTACTAATATAGTACTAATCTATAGTACTAATATAGAAACTAATCTGTCTTAAATATAATAAAGAATGTTTCCTCTTGTCTCTCCTCTTCCTTTCTCTCAATTCCTAGTGTTTCTCTCCGTCTCTCTTATTACTTCTTGATGAATACCGATATATTAAATGTTCGAGATTTCAAGCATAATTCCGGTACAACACAATAATTAGACATAGCTCGACTTAAGATCGATCACGTATACAGTATAGCCAGAGTGAATGGACCGAATGTGCGCGCGTACGTTGGATGTTTTCTTCGAACAATACTCGCAATAAGGACACTTGAACCTTGGCAACTGGCCACACTCGTACTTGAGATGCTTCTGTAAGTTGTTCTTCCGGTTGAATACGCTGCTGCAATTTGGACAGGGAAACTTGACGTTGCAAACATGTTGGAAACTGAAGGACGTGGAGGCATTTTGTTCGTCCATTAGAGCTTCAAAAGGAAACGACACGTCTGCGAACAAAGGAAATAAATTGCAAAAAAAAGTAAGTCAATGTACTTTCAGCGATTCGTTTACCGTACATTTCTCAGTCAATTCGAGAAGTGTAAGAAGTTACGGATCAGGATACTAATCGACAAAACTAATCGACAAAACAAACAGAGGCGAGTTCTTCGGGTGAAGTTTGAAAACAATTGGCCATGGTACATCCATCTTACGTCCATTTATACATAGTGATCAAGATCATTGTTATAATCGATGATTACATACAGCGAGTCATCGACTCGTGCTCTTTTCCTCCATATTTTCGTCCCTCCACATAGGCTTAGTAACTAAAAGCATAAATGCTTGTTATGCCGAAAAAAAAAAAAAAA